TGCATGAGGTTGTCTGAAACCAGATCGCCTTTGTGTCCATGCATGAGGTTGTTTGAAACCGACTTCAGGCGGTTCAGCCACTTCAGGTTACTAGAACAGTTTCAGATTGCCTTTGTCTCCATGCATGAGGTTATCTGAACCGCCTTCAGGCCGTTCAGCCACTTCAGGTTACTAGAGCACTTTCAGATTGCCTTTGTGTCCACACATGAGGTTGTCTGAACCGCCTTCAGGCGGTTCAGCCACTTCAGGTTACTAGAGCTGTTTCAGATTGCCTTTGTGTCCATGCATGAGTTTATCTGAAACCGCCTTCAAGCGGTTCAATCACTTCAGGATACTAGAGCAGTTTCAGATTGCCTTAAAGTTTGTGTCCATACATGAGGTTGTCTGAAACCGCCTTCAGGCAGTTCAGCCACTTCAGTTTACTTCACCACTTACTCTACAAACCCGAAGCCTTGAACCCTAGATACTAACTCAGTTCTAAGAAATGCAGATTTGAAATCAGAACCATGTACATTCGAGCTGAAAGTCGCACATTAGACCTCTTCCCACCACCTGCCTACTTCAGACTTGCTTTCAAAGCTTGACACAAACATTTCTAGAGCCACTGCTTCCCAGAGCTTGACCTACACACCCAGACCCCAACCTAGGCTTACAAAGCGATGAATCTTTCCGCAAACCATATGAATCAGAAAAGATAAATGGAAATGTTATTGAATCCTTCACTCCTTGTATATAAAATTGTCCTGTTCATATTGGTCTCAAGTTCTCAACTAAGCAAAGATGTTAGTTGGTATAAAATCTCTCTCTCTCTCTCTCTCTCTCTCTCTCGCATAGAACCACCAGTGCCAGCTATGTATGTATGTATCTCAGTTTGCACCTTGCAATTCAATCATCACTCCCTCATTGAACTCACTCTCTCTCTCTCTCTCTCTCTCTCTCTCATAGAACCACCAGTCCCAGCTATGTATGTATGTATCTCACTTTGTACCTTGCATTTCAATCGTCACTCGCTCATTGAACTCTCTCTCTCTCTCTCTCTCTCTCTCTCTCTCTGTATGTATCTCAGTTTGCACCTTGCATTTCAATCATCACTCCCTCATTGAACTCTCTCTCTCTCTCTCTCTCTCTCTCTCTCTCTCTCTCTCTCTCTCTCATAGAACCACCAGTTCCAGCTATGCATGTATGTATCTCCCTTTGTACCTTGCATTTCAATCATCACTCGCTCATTGAACTCTCTCTCTCTCTCTCTCTCTCTCTCTCTCTCTCTCTCTCTCTGAGCAAGCACCATATTTCCTCTTCCAACTGTTGGCAGACCAAAATGCAACAAAGAGGATCCTTCCTATTGAGAGGCATGTGAAAATATCATACTCAGAAACCAGAGGAGATATGCCTGCAAGACAAAAATGCACATAAAAATGACACAAATGCAAACAAAGCAAATCATGAGTTATCTATATGTGATCGATATTTTCTAATATATTTGTTTTTTTAAATAATTTAATATCGATATATAGGCAACTGCAGCTCAAAGACTACTGTCATTGCGGCCCAGCGGCTACAGCTGTAGACATTGTAAGAAAAGACATATATACGGAACTGCAGCTCAAAGACTACTGTCATTGCGGCCCAGCGGCTACAGCTATAGGTCTCTGTCCACTTCATCAGTCAACTACTATAACAAGATTAAAATTTGTTTAACCTGCATTACAAATTTATTGACGGTTCATTTTAGAAAAAAACTGCTGTGACCTAGACTACCAGCCAGGCCGTCCGGGTCCCAGGAGGCCAGCCGGTGCAAGGACAAGGGAAGGTCCCAAAAAAAAAAAAAAAAAACAAATTCGAAAAATCCAAAAAAAAAAAACAATGTTACACAAAACAATAAACTAATTACTTTTGCCTCTGGGTCACATCGAATTTTTTTACCAGATTTTAAAATCGAAAATAGAAATAAAAATAAAAAATAAATTTTATTTATTTTTGTTTTTTTGGCCCAGCTGGGCAAGTGACCCCGGGCCCCTCTGGTAGCCTAGGCTCTGACGACAATTTATAATATTTCCAAATGTTATAAAGACATATGCAGTATCACTGACTTAGTAAGCACATCACTGTATATAACATAGTAAAATTCATTTCAAACAATAATTTCACACGATAAGCAGATAATTCTAAAATGTCAGCACAAGATTAAAAATTGAAGATCTTACCAGCTGGAAGTATCTCAAAACATCGTGCAGGAACATTGATTTTTGACGAAACATAACCTGCCCAAATAAGAACAAAAAGACCACAATTTATTTTCAATAATTAAAGGAGGATAAGAGAGCCGGTTAACGGAGATCTAAATTTTCAAGATTTTTTCAGGGTCATTATAAGACACTTCCCACATCTTTTAACCCAGACTTGTCACCAGTCCATAGAGAGGACACCAAATAAACCAACAGCAAAAAAAAAAAAAAACAGGAGCAAAAATGCGCTTTCATTCAAAATTCACTCGGGTCCCTGAAAAGGATTTTCATGATTTTTCAAGGGTGGCCAAACTCCAAACTTCATACACACATACCTTCACGAGAAACATCTCTCTCTTCCATCAAAACCTCCGGCCCGACGGGGGACTGGGCGCTATGGTCCATGCATGACATAATTCACCCAGGCCAGACAGTCAGCACAGTCGAGAAGATTGCACAAGCGCAAGTTACAGCCAAGCCGGCCCTGCTTCACAAGGTTCGAGTCGTGGAAGATGATTCCTACAGAATCTACAACGCAGCGAGTGGGCCTGTGGAGTGGGCCTGACGATGATTTCTACAGAATCTACAACGCTCCAGAAATTGGAGATTGACCCTGCGTAGTGGGCCCGGAAAACGGTGCGCACAATATCCCGGATCGAACATCACACAAGCCTGTTGGACTACACCACTCGACTGGGATACCAGTTGTGGAGAAGACCTGCTCACACAGACCTCATACTCACCCGAAGATGGGAGAAGCACATCTCGGGCAGCATGCACGGCCATACAGTGCTTCCCTGGTAGTGCCCGCTCGCCATCAGAAACCCCCGGGTCCAAAGCATATAATGGCTCATCTACTAACACGCTTTTCTGGTCAACAAATGGCTAAGCAGGCGGCACAGTGTAGCAGCCAGAAGGGACCTCGACGATTGTTGTGTGATCTGCAGAGAGGGACTACCCGAAGACTTGCTGCACTGCCTACTCCATGCCCAGGACGGAAGACTTATGGCAGTCAATCACCGACACAAGAATGACTGATAAACCGGTCACACACCTCATGGGCCTGGATCGGGCTGGATGAGCCGGTTCTCTCTGAGAAATGGCAGCAACCACTCTTCCGCAGACTTAGACCACTAACACTGTGGGCCATATGGAAGAGACGATACACAGAAACTATAGACGGCCAGCGCATCTCAGAAGCAGAAGCCTGGCAGACTGTCGCCCAGCTCCTGTGAGATGAGTACCAGGCAGACTTGCACAAAGAGCTCATGCGTCAAGGATGACCTGACCAGAAAACATAACATCATCACCAAGTTCAACAATGATAAACTGGGCCCCGGGAAATTGTGGAACCTTGTCGGTGATAAACCAACTCTCCGTTGGGTTCTTCTAGCTCAGCCCTTCCGTCAACAGGGACAACACATGGCAGCATCGCAGGCCTTGGAAACAGGTTGGAAAGTTATGGATAGACTCTCAGATGAACTGCGGTTGGAAAATTATGGATAGACCCTCAGATCAACCCCGCGTAGTGTAAGGATAGCGGCACCCGATGGCTTGCAAGCCGAGAGAGGAGGGTACTGTAGACATAAGTGTTCAGACACTGCCTCAGCTAGGACAGATACATCCGACAGCCGGTGACCTGAGAGAGGCACAGTCAAAGACGCTGGTCCACCGCTGCCCGTACGGCTCAGGGTTTATTCACCAGGAGGCCAGTGGGAGTAGGGACTTTGCCCCATGCCTAGAGGCTCTTTCCGACCCATGCCTGTGGCTTGAAGCGTGCAACGGTCGCGTTGTCTGCTAACACAGAGGTCTGAACACTCGGGGTTTTCCTCGAGTACATCGCTGCCACAGGACAATCGCTTTTGGAACAGGACACAGTTCTGGGACGCTGGACCCGGTTTCCAGCATAGGCTTTACCACGTTTTCGGGTTTTGGGGACGGCTCCCAGGGGGCTGGACTGGGATCACAGGATGCTAGAAAGTTGGGACGGGTAGGAGTCTGCCGCAAGTGGAGGCTCGTAAGCGAAACTGGGTAAGGCTCCGAGGATAACCTCGGGTCGAATTGCGAGATCCCCGGCCTCGATCTGTTTCGGGAATGAAAAGCACTCGTCTGCAAAAAAAAAAGGAAAAAATAAAATTAATGAAGAAAAAAAAGGACCTCTGTGGCATACACATATGCGTTTTTTTATTTTTCATTTTTTAAAAGGGCGATACCCTTGAGATATCATCATCGAACTGACTGGCTTCAGGTAAATTCAGAGTCATTTTACTCATTTGATTCCGTTTGGATTTGAGCTCAGTTCTGCTTATCGACAGTTCATGGGTGTACCGTTCAGTCATTTTACTCATTTTACTCTTTTGAGAGTCAACACAAACAATCTCATACACCGGCTGATACTCCAGAGTTTATAACTTTTATGTCTTTATTAGCAAAAGAAAAAAATGATCACATACCTGATTAACAATGTTTGGATCTTCTCTTTCTGAAACGTGAGAAGATGGCTCGGGAATGTCCTCGTCAACTTTAAGCCCATGATTTTCTTCCAATTGACACACATCAGAACCGGTCCGCAGAAACTTGCTTCTTTTCGTAGACCTTTCTGTCAGCTGTACTCAAACTATCAGCAATTGCACAAAAAGGGTAATTACAGTAATTGGAACTTTCAATTATATGAGAGAGAGTAAAACCGAGTTTTCTACGCTGTATATTATGTGATTGTAACATGTGCTCAGTTTCGTAATTGGAACTTCCTAAGGTCAATTGTCAATTACAAGAACGAGCCCCATGAAACCGAGACCCACCCACACACACACATGCACTGGCAAATAGAGTCAAAACTCAACAAGTAGGGACATGTTACATACAAAGCTCAGTTAGTCACAAATACATTCAAAGATCACAACACAAGGACAGAAAGTTAGAAGCGTTGAAAGTTCAGTGTTTTCAAACTGCCTACCCTCAACCGGCCAGTTGCCGCCCCTGTCGTATACTTCTTGTAATGTTTGTACAAATTTTGAATCTTTTTGTTTTTTGCAGGCGAACCCGCAATATATTCTAGCTGTGCCATTGAGTCGCACCATGTATATGCTGTATACAAACCTACACAAAGATATAGCAACACACAACTGCATCAGCTGCAAGTTACTCACAAATCGACTACGCAGCGAAGGCAGACATTCGGAGCCCTCCCCTTTCTGTCCGGGTTGTCCAACTGGAGAACCCACCACAATGTCCCCCCAGACACTTCTGTTGAGCATAGTGATCTTGACCTAACAATTTGTTTTTTTCTGAATATTTTTTCCATAGGTTCTACGTTATGCTAGCGCATATAACCATAATTTAAGGAGGCTGCAGTAAACCGCGTTCAGCAGCGGCCTGGGCGCTGTAACCCAAGCCCAGGCCCAGCGAGCAGTGCGACCACGCGCTGCTCGGCCTCAGGCCGCTGCGGGTGCTGTGTGACCACGCACAGCAAGAAATTCAAAGGTCAAAGTGAACTGTAGGTCCAGGTACC